CAAAAGACTTCGGACCCGAGACTCAAAAAAGAGTATTCCTTCAAGGACGAAGACGTTCCAGCCATCTTCGAATCCCTCCTTGTAAGCAACAAGATCAAGCTACCACCTATCACAAATCAGGAGGAAGCTGATAATACTGCGGATCCGAAGTACTGTGCATACCACATGAAGGTCCTTCATCCCACCAAGGATTGCTTCGCTCTCAAGAATAGCATCCAAACCTTGGTTGAAGCCGGCGTCATAACGCTGAGATATGCCAAATGAGAACGGTAAGACTCCAAAGAGTATATGAGTATAAACTATTTCTCAATCCTCCAACAGGTGCATGAGGTTAAACTGCTCCTTTCTACACTCCGATAAGTATAAGAGTATAAACTGCTCCTTTCTAGACTCCGACGAGTATAAGAGTATAAACTGCTTCTCAATCCTCTGACCGGTATAAGAGGTTAAACTGCTCCCTGATACTGAGTATAAACTGCTTCTCAATCCTCTGACCGGTATAAGAGGTTAAACTGCTCCCTGATACTCCAACATGCATATGAGTCTAAACTATTTCATTTCTTTCACAGGAAGTTCCTAGAGAATTTTTTATATGTAATATTCTTAAGGATAACCCAGTCATGTAACTGAGTACAATGTCGGACCCAGTTCCACAAGGGAAGCTGGGGGTGGATTATTCATGTATCGGGAAGTTCCCGAAAGAATACCACAGGTGATATTCTTAGGGATAACCCAATCACTATAAAAGTGATAAGTAAAACATCCACATTTAAACTCTAAATGTTGGAATATTTTCCATTATTGTTATCAAATTCATTAATTCTCATGAGTTATCTTGTCGAGACGAGATTCGATCCTTTTGACAGATTAATCTTTCCTCACAAAAATCCCCCACTGATCAAGTCAATTGACGATAGGTCCACTAAATTTTCTGTCCGCCAATTCATGACAATTTCCAAAGCTTGACGTGTTAAGTCCTGATTACTTAACGTCAAAACCCTTCATCGAGTGGCCAGCACAAACCAGTATTTCTACTGCTACTTGTATTCCACTCCCTTTGCTTTCAGCTGGTCAAACCTATAAAAGTTAGGGCCAAAGCCAAAATCCCCTCTCGATTCCTCCAATGAACGAGAAGTTCACTTTCAAATTGAGTGATCAAACCTTCCGACAGTTAGGGTTATCTCAAACTCCTGTTTGGTCAAACCTTCCTACAGTTAGGGCCAAAGCCAAAATCCCCTCTCGATTCCTCCAATGAACGAGAACGTCAAAACCCTTCATCGAGTGGCCAGTACAAACCAGTATTTCTACTGCTACTTGTATTCCACTCCCCGTCCGTTTGGTCAAACCTTCCTACAGTTAGGACCACAATCAAAATCCCCTCTCGATTCCTCCAATGAACGAGAGGTTCACTTTCAAATTGAGTGATCAAACCTTCCGACAGTTAGGGTTATCTCAAACTCCTGTTTGGTCAAACCTTCCTACAGTTAGGGCCAAAGCCAAAATCCCCTCTCGATTCCTCCAATGAACGAGAGGTCCACTCTCAAATCGAGTAATCAAACCTTCCGACAGTTAGGGTTATCCGATTTTTTCCGATTCTCGGGGTGGAGATCCCGCCTCGAGTTTCCTTTCCAGCTGTAGATAGAATATAAAATTTTTCCTCTTCAGCACCGGGAGATAGAATAGGGGGTGGAGATCCCACCTCGAGTTTCCTTTCCAGCTGAAGATAGAATATAAAATTCTTCTTCTTCATTGTCGGGAGATGGAATATAAAATTCTTCCTCTCCCATTTCGGGTTCGTCTTTGCCCCAAGAGAAGACACCACCTTTTTCAACTCCCAAAATCTGTGCCTCACAGGTACGGGGAATTTTATCCCGAATCCTAATTAGGGATAAGTCAACGCCTAACACGCGTTGCCGGTTTAAGTCTTTCACCGATTGAAGAAGACACTAGAATTCCAGTCTAGGATGAGAAAGACGAAGCCTATGTATTCAACGTCATAGCACAAAGTCTCAGAGAGTTTACTCTCTTAGCACAATGTTACATGCGGAACGGATTGAGACAATCCGCATGCTAGCCCAACTCAAACGGTAGTCGGTAAAGGCTAATCAAATCTGTTGAAGGCTGGGGATTAGCCAAAAATCCTGAAGTCAACGCCTAACACGCGTTGCCGGGTAGTCTATTCAAGTCTGCGCTTAACCCGCGCTGCCGGTTAGTTCTTAACCGTTAAAAAGAACACCCGTCCGCATATTCAACATTGTGGCGGGTTGTTATTAATAACACCAAAATCTATGCCTTACACGCATGGGGAATTTCATCCTGAATCCTAAGAAAAGATATGCCGACGCCTAACACGCGTCGCCGGTTTAGTCTTTTTCCGTAGAAAAAAAGACACCAGAGTTCGATTCTGGGGTATTTTATCCCGAAGCCTAAGTAGGGATAAATCAGCGTCTAATACACGTTGTTGGGTAGCCTATGCCCGTAACAATGACGAAGTCTACGTATTCGAAGTCGTAGCAGCGAGGCTAAGAGTTCATTCTCCGTTAGCACAACGTCACATGCGGAACGGATTTAGACAATCCGCATGCTAGCCCGACTCAAACGGTAGTCGGTAAAGGCTAATCAAATCCGTTGAAGGCTGGGGGTTAGCCAAAAATTCTAAAGTCAATGCCTAACACGCGTCGCCGGGTAGTCTATTCCCGTGAGAAAGACGAAGTCTACGTATTCAATATCGTAGCACTAAGAGCGTTAACTCTCTTAGCACAACGTCACATGCGGAACGGATTTAATAATCCGCATGCTAGCCTGACTCAAACGGTAGTCGGTAAAGGCGCATCAAACCCATTGAGGGCTGAGGGTTTGCCAAAAATCCTATATATGCGAAATTCATTGACGCACCAGCCCCATTAGTTGGTTTCGTGACTTAGACATCCAACAAATTCGGGATAAGATCCACATGTGCAGTTGAATTAGCTTTAATAGTTGGTCCTGCAGCCCAATATTTAGGACCGTCATGCTCCAATACCTCAAGAGCTTAAACTGTGTATACTCCAACAAACGTCAAGCGATCCGAAACCCTAGGGTCAACGCCGGTCAACGCGTAACCCTAGGTCAACGCTATTTAACGTGTTGCGATCAAAAAATCAACATACGACGTTCGAAACCCTAGGGTCAACGCCGGTCAACGCTGGTCAACGCGTAACCCTAGGTCAACACCAGTCAACGCGTTGCGATCAAACAGTTAACGTACGAAGTTCGAAACCCTAGGGTCAACGCCGGTCAACGCGTAACCCTAGGTCAACGCCGATCAATGCGTTGCAATGAAAAAATTAATACTCCAAAAAGTATACGAGTATAAACTGCTCCTTAATACTCCAATAAGGTATACGAGTATAAACTATTCCCTATTTTTGGTTGAGAAGTTCCTGGAGAATATTTTTCTAAAAATACTCTTAAGGATAACTCAACAACACTACGTCGGACAACGCGTCGCAAATAAAGACTCAACGTCAACGATCGATGATCAGTTCTATGTTGAACCAGCAAACACGAACTAAAAGATCAGAAAATCAGGAATCGACTTCAAGTTCAAAATTCTGACAACGGTCAGACAATAAATGCAGCACCAGAACACTTACAGACATTCGACAAAGCACCGAATAGCCTGAAGGATTGAAAGAATCAAGAACAGAAGTCATTCCAAGGTCCCGTTACACCGACTGAAGGTTGGGACAATCATATCCAAAGTATTCCAGACTCTTCTATAAAAGAACGAGACTGAAATACTTTGGAGGGGGTATCTGTAGGCGTATAAAACTGCTTATGGGTCCCTTAACAAAGCTCGGCACGACGATTCGACAAACCAACGAACCATCGGGTGATGTATCTAAACACGGGCGTTAATCCGCAACACCGAAGCCAAGTGACACACAATGAAGCGGATTAACGAGGCGACGAGGTTAACGAACCGCACGCGAACAACGGAATACATCCACTCGCGTGCGGAATCAAGCTAACGGTTCGGTGAGTCAACGAGTCATCCAACTGTAGAACGGATTCGAACTCGAACACCGAAGCGGGTTTACTGCCATAAGGAGAGGTTGGTTTATTTGTTAAGGGTTGGAACTTTTGGAGCCGAAACTCTGCCGAATTGAGAATTAACTTTGGAGTTTTGAAGACTTGAAGACTTGGACATTCAGATCTGGTTCTTGGCGAGCATCCACATCACAAAAGGCAGGAGTTCGAGAGAGAGAGAGAGAGATCTGATCTGAGATCTACACGAAGTAATACTCCGGATCAAAGCTTGGCCTTTGATCCCGAGAACTAAAGGCTATTATTTCCTTGGTGAAATAGTACCCCCGGCTGTTATTTTCTTAGTGAGATAACACCCGTCAAATCATGTAGATCCGACCGGATCTAGATCGCGTGGTGGTCCACGGATAAACCCCCGGCGCAGGCGAAGAACCCACCAAAGCGAGTGACCGCAAAACAGAAGCTCGTGATTCGTTCAAAAGGAAAGTTGTAATTTTTATTTTTTTTGATCTCATTGTAACCGGATCTTATAAAAAGACCGGATTTTTGTAATCGATGGAATTAATGAAGAAAGCAACAATTTTTCCCGCGAACACCCTCAAGGATTTTGAGACAAAATAACTTTACTGTTGGTATTTTCGGATGGTAAAAGAAATATTCACCCACCCAAAATGGGTATAAAACATAGACAATGATTATTCTCTAGTCCTCCCTGATAATGAAGCTCAACCATGTAGTAACTAGTTCTTTTATGCTTGATTTTGTCTATGGCTGTTGAAGTGTACCTCAATAAATCAATAATCAACGTTAATATCTCATTTTTTATCACTTAATTAACAAAAAATATTATAATTATCGATTAACCACAGGTAAGTTAGATCATAGGTACAAGTGTTGGTTATGTATCTTTTTTATGATTGGTCATACTGTTTCTCAATGGGGAACCCCTTGTTTTTTATTATAGGGACATGATGGACAGAAGTTGGATGTTTGTTAGAGATAGGTTTCACAACCCTGACTTCACCAATGGTTTAAAAACATTTCTGGATGCTGCGAAACAACACCTAGATCATGAAAATAAGACGCGTTGCCCCTGTGTTAAATGTCAAAATGCCTTGTTGTGTCTTTCTCTACCCGAGATACGCAGACATATACTTGTAAATGGGTTTGAACAACATTACACGACATGGACTGAGCACGGGGAAGATTTTGTTGATGTCGCAGACGACCAAATGTATGAGGATTTTGAAAGTGACAGCGATGATGATGATGATGACAATGCTGTGATGTTGGACATGTTAAATGATGTCCAAGGAGCTATAAGTATGGAGACAGATGATGAGAACGATATTTATGTTAACAAATATGATTATTTGTTTAATGAAGCTCAACGAGAACTGTACCCGGGTTGTACAAAGTTCTCTGCATTATCTTTTATTATAAAATTAATGCAGATCAAGATAGATGGTCGTTGGAGCAATAAAAGTTTAAAAAATCTACTGAAATTGTTAAATGACTCGTATCCAAAAGGTGCATCCATACCAACATCAAACTATGAAGCCAAAAATATGTTGCTAGAATTGGGCTTGGGGTATGAATCCATACATGCATGCAAGTATGACTATGCACTATTTTATGGGAAAGAGAATAAGAAACTGGATGAATGTCCAGTGTGCAAGGAGCCGAGATACAAGTCTTGTGATGGCAAACGCAAGAAAGTTCCACAAAAAGTCTTGTGTTATTTTCCATTGAAGCCGAGACTTCGGAGGTTGTATATGTCGAGACATACCGCGACTGAAATGAAATGGCATAAAAAAAGAAGACAAAATGAAGAGGGTTTCCTACGACATCCAGCTGATTCTGCCGAGTGGAAACACTTTGATCAAGAGTATCCTGATTTAGCTGCAGATTATCGAAATGTGAGGTTGGGGCTTGCTACAGATGGTTTTAATCCATTTGGAAACATGAGCACTAGTTATAGTATGTGGCCAGTTATGCTAGTGCCGTACAATCTGCCTCCTTGGAAATGCATGAAAGGAGTGTATTCAATGATGTCATTACTCATACCTGGTCCTCGAGCACCTGGGAAAGACATTGATGTGTATCTTCGTCCATTAATAGACGAATTAAAAGAATTGTGGGATATTGGAGTTGAAACTTTTGATGCCTCTGTTGGGAGAAATTTTAATTTGCGGGCATGTGTATTGTGGACTATAAATGATTTTCCTGCTTACGGAAATTTATCTGGGTGGAGCACAAAAGGGTACAAAGCTTGTCCTGTTTGTAACGAAGATGTAACTTCAGAGGGGTTGAGAGGAAAATTATGTTTTATGGGAGCTCGACGAAATTTGCCTGAGGATCATGAGTGGAGAAGGAGTAAATATTTTAACGGTTTAGTTGAAGATCGTCCTCCTCCCAGATTATTTTCTGGGGATGACATATTGCGGCAATTAGATCGTGTTTATAAAGCTAGGCCTGGAAAACATCCTGACAATCCTGATTTAAAGTGACAACGTGAGCCTCATGAGCTAAACTGGACTAGAAAGAGTATTCTTTTTTGAGTTAGAGTATTGGTCCAAGCTCAGGTTGAGACATAATATTGATGTGATGCATGTTGAAAAAAAATATATGTGATAGTGTCATTGGTACTTTGTTGAATATAGATGGGAAAACAAAAGACACCAACAAGGCTCGTTTGGACTTGGCAGATAGGAAGATAAGAAAAGAATTACATCTCACACGTCAAGGGAATAAATTGAAGAAGCCTCATGCTAGATATGTTTTGAAATTGGAATACCGTAGGCTGTTTTGTAAGTTCCTCAAAGTTGTCAAATTTCCTGATGGGTATGCTGCCAATATTTACAAAAATGTGAACATTGTCGATGGGAAGATACATAATTTAAAAAGTCATAATTGCCATGTTTTACTTCAACGCCTCCTCCCAGTTGGTATTCGTCCATATTTGGACAAGGATGTGTGCACTGCAATTGTTGAGCTGGCCATTTTTTTCCAACAGATCTGTGCAAAAACTTTAAAGGTGTCAGACTTAGAAAGAATGGAGAATGAGATTGTTATAATATTGTGCAAATTAGAGAGAATTTTTCCACCGACTTTTTTTGATGTAATGGTTCACTTGGCAGTCCATTTACCTCGTGAAGCTTTGCTTGGTGGTCCAGTTACCTATCAGTGGATGTATCCTATTGAGAGAAATTTAGGAACATATAAAAAGTATGTTACAAATAAAGCTCGACCTGAAGGTTCTATTGCAGAAGCATATATTGTCAATGAAGCATTGACATTTTGTTCTATGTATTTTCGTGAGATTGAAACCCGTATCAATCGGGCAGAACGAAATGTCGATGTAGAAGATGACCAAGTAGTAGATGGTTTATCGATTTTCTCTCAGAAAGTTCGTCCATTCTGTGGAAAAAATATATACTATTGGACCGGAAGGAAGTGAATAAAGCTCATTGGTATGTACTATACAACTGTGACGAGGTGAAACCTTATCTCAAGTAAGTGTCTTTTTTTGCATTTGTGTGTATTGTGTTCAATTTTTTTAATTCAGATTAGAGATTGAATTATCTAATTTGTACCTGTAGGGAACATGAGGATGAGTTAAGGCAAACAAGTAACCATAAGTTGTATGAAAGACAAGAAAATGAGTTCCCTGATTGGTTTGAAAAAAAAGTAAGTTCATACACAATTTTAAAGAGTAGTTAGTTATTGTATATGACCACTATGCTAACTTTCTTGTTTTAATTGTTATTCATAGATGATTAAAAAGAGAGAAAACGGATTGATGGATGCAACCGATGAGAAGCTTTATTGTCTAGCATGTAAACCAGATTTACGTGTTCATACGTACACTGGTTGTATCGTGGATGGAGTTAGATATCATACAAAAGATCTTGATGATCATCGGACAACTTAAAATAGTGGGGTGTATGTCCCTGGAGTTTTTATTGGTGGAAGTCATGATTATTATGGTGTTTTGCTAAGTATTGTGAAGTTAACGTACTTAGATATGAATCAAGTTTTTTTATTCAAGTGTAAATGGTTCAACACCGACGACTCAAGTAGAGACGAAAGGAGAAGATGTAACGCTCCACCCCGGAATCCCAGAGTCGGTACGTTATTAGATCTGATGGACTGGCCTCACAAACCACCACATGTCTTTTCAGCACGTTTTGTCCTCACTCACGCGCTCCCTGGAAAACTTCCCAGAGGGTCACCCATCCTAGAATTTCTCTAGGCTAAGCACGCTTAACTTTGGAGTTTCTAAGAGATGGGTTCCTGAAAAGAAGATGCATCTTGGTGGTATGAGTATTCCAATCAAATCTATCAATACTAATCACATCACCCTCTCAAGTGTTGGGGTATTACAATCTCCCCCACTTAAACTTACAACGTCCTCATTGTGCCAAATCATATCATCCAAGACCGTACCATCCGTGTGAGATTCTAGAGGTGGCTCCTACGGCCTCAAGAGGTGGCTCCCGCCCTCTCGACGTAGCACTTTGCGCCGCATAGCACTTAGCTCTCACAATTCCGGTTGGCTTGGCTCTGATACCATTTGTAACGCCCCGCCCCGGAATCCCGGAGTCGGTACGCTATTAGATCTGATGGACTGGCCTCACAAACCACCACATGTCTTTTCAGCATGTTTTGTCCTCACTCATGCACTCCCTGGAAAACTTCCCAGGGGGTCATCCATCCTAGAATTTCTCCAGGCTAAGCACGCTTAACTTTGGAGTTCCTAAGAGTTGGGTTCCCGAAAAAACGATGCATCTTGGTGGTATGAGTATTCCAATCAAATCTATCAATACTAATCACATCACCCTCTCAAGGGTTGGGGGTATTACAATGATTTGTAACGCCCCGCCCCGGAATCCCGGAGTCGGTACGCTATTAGATCTGATGGACTGGCCTCACAAACCACCACATGTCCTTTCAGCACGTATTGTCCTCACTCACGCGCTCCCTGGAAAACTTCCCAGGGGGTCACCCATCCTAGAATTTCTCCAGACTAAGCACGCTTAACTTTGGAGTTCATAAGAGTTGGGTTCCCGAAAAGAAGATGCATCTTGGTAGTATGAGTATTCCAATCAAATTTATCAATACTAATCACATCACCCTCTCAAGGGTTGGGGTATTACAATCTCCCCCACTTAAACTCACAACGTCCTCGTTGTGCCAAACCATATTATCCAAGACCGTACCATCCGTGTGAAATTCTAGAGGTGGCTCCTACGGCCTCAAGAGGTGGCTTCCGCCCTCTCGACGTAGCACTTTGCGCCGCATAGCACTTAGCTCTCACAATTCCGGTTGGCTTAGCTCTGATACCATTTGTGACGCCCCGCCCCGGAATCCCAGAGTCGGTACGTTATTAGATCTGATGGACTGGCCTCACAAACTACCACATGTCTTTTCAGCACGTTTTGTCCTCACTCACGCGCTCCCTGAAAAACATCCCAGGGGGTCACCCATCCTATAATTTCTCCAGGCCAAGCACGCTTAACTTTGGAGTTTCTAAGAGTTGGGTTCCTGAAAAGAAGATGCATCTTGGTGGTATGAGTATTCCAATCAAATCTATCAATACTAATCACATCACCCTCTCAAGGGTTGGGGTATTACAGAAGAATGATACGGTATGATTATAATCTTACTAGCATTAATACAAGCTCTACGTGGTATGATGATGAACTATTCATACTTGCTATGGAAGCCCAACAAGTGTTTTATCTCGATGACTGTAAGTTGGGTTCACCCTGGAAAGTTGTACAAAAGGTGCAATTAAGAAACGTGTGGGATGTTCCGGAGGTCGAGGATACAAGTGGAGTGATAGTTGAGGATGATGTAGATCCTGTGACAAATGATGCTTATCAACAAGACGAGTTTAATGATGTTCACTGGTTCGTTCAAGAAGAGGGCCTTGAAACTCCAGAATTGCATCTTAATGATATTGACCCAGAAATTGTTGCTTCAGAGGTTGTGAACGATGATTGGATGAATGATGGTAGTGAAGATAATTTGATAAATGATGATACTGAAGAAGAAGATGATCCGGAAGATAGTGATGAAGAACCAATCATTTCAAGTGATGATGAGGATAGTGATTAGTTTATATCATAATTTTAATGTTTTTTTTATGCGAGATGTTTTAGTTTGACATAATTTGATAAATGTAGCTATAATTTTACTGTTATTTTTTCTTGATGATGCGATTACGTTGCAAGATTAAGAGGGGGATGCATGAATTAGTAGTAAATCCTCCTTCCTTCTTTTTGTCATTTGTTGAAAGTGGTTTAGTAGCTATAATTGTAAGTAGTTTTTGAATCCATGTCATGAGGATGTTTCTAATAAGTCTGGATGCTACTTGTCCAGCCTTTTCTTCTATTTCTCCAGTTTCAGATATTACATGTATATCCCAGCTTATTGTTAGAGCCTTTAACCCTTCCATATCCATGTCGCAGTTGCATGCCTGTTGCCACATTTGCCTTTTCATATGGTATATTGTGTTCTTTATAGCTTTGTTAGTCCCAGTTTCCTCTCTCTGTCTATTTCCCATTTTCATAGGAGCTCTGTAATGTTACAATGGTTTCAGGATATATCATCCATATTCCCTTTCGTGATGAGCAATGAAGTCCTTGCAATGTTTTTTGCATTATGTTCTCTATCTTTGAATTTATTTTACTTTCTTGCAATAAACAAAATGGTTTTTTGCTCTTTTCTGATAGTATCAAGCACATACCACATATAGCAAGGTTTTCTTCTATCATATATACTTCTGATCTAATTTTCATATCTTGGTATTATTATCAGCCACCATTAATTTCTACTCGAGAAAGTTTATTACAATCTTTATATAAGCCCTAATTTTCAAAATGTTTTTGATTTGTTGATATGATACTGTTTCGATTCACTTAGGATTACAGAGCAGCCTACCAGGATTATTGATGTCTTTTACTTAGTTAAATGTCAGGTTCAATGTCGTAACTTCCCTCCCTCTTGACCATGGTTTGATGTATTTATTGAATGCATTATTAGAAGACATGACAAGCTAGTATTCTTTTCAGCTCACATATCACTTCATCAAAGAAACATTTACCGCAATAAATACCTTGTGCAGTAGCTTTAGTTAATCTGAGTGCACATAAATTGCAATTTATGTTGGGTGATTCTAAAGATTAACTGTCTCTATACTTGCGATAAGAGTACATTCTCAATGTCAAACAGTGAGATATTGGCTACCTTGGTTACTGTTTCTGACTTTTCCATGGTGATTTCTGGGCTTCTGCTTCTTGTTTTCATAAACTCAATGGAGATCAAATATTCTTAATGAAATTGCCTATTCACTGCATTTTGCATGTGTACGGAGACTGATAGATATCGTTTAATGTACTCATTTTTATTTGCTCGAATTCTGTGAGTTATCATAAGGTTATCATTGCAGGGTCTCAGTTCTTTTTTTTTTAATTTTTATCCCGGGCATATTCTTGATGTTAATATGCTAACTTCTGCGTACTGGGTATTTCTATTTATAATTTGATTGTTATCCAATGTCCACTAGTCTTGTTTATTTTTGCACCTTTCATGGATCTCACGATGGATAAGGATATAAGTTCTTTGGGAATTTACGATACTGCATGTAATATGAAAGGCACCAAGTATGTGAAGGGGAAAATAGCAATTTGTTTCGTGCTTTGAGGTGAAAATTTTCTGTTTATTTGTTTTCTCTTCTGTGCTGTGTGATCAACCACTTCTGCAGATGTCCTCAATTCTGAATGGTTACTTGGATGACCAAACAGGAGCACTTCCGTACTCGATAGCTTCCATTTCTGAATTGTTTTGAGCATCTTCTTTATAATACCATATCTACTTTGGTGTAGGACACCTCAAAGCACCAAAAAATAAAAAATAAAAATAAAAAATAAAAAAAGAAGGTTGAAGGAGAGGTCATTTCTAAACTGTGACAGCTTTTAAGTAGATATCTCAGTTGGGGTGTTCTTTAAGTTTGTTTCCTTGAACATATTGACCGACATTTGAAAGAGTTTCTGATATATTATTGGAGCCTAATTTCTTACGCAAGATTGCGCCCTATGTATGCAAATGAGATTGCGTACTTGCCTAGAGTTAGAGGTGATTAAAAGTATGAATTTTTATGTAGTTGATATTAAAGCCTTCATCATCTTTTTCACTAAGCTGACTGTCTCTCTATGCATGGGACGGCATTTGGAGCCAAATTATTGATCGGTTGCATTCAATTAGAAGATCTGCTTCATTTATTAATTTGGTAGTAAACTTCATATAACATCACCTTGGTGTTTATGTTAAAAGTCTTTCAAGACAATCATCGCTAATGGACGCTTGCATCAAACATGGAGGCTGTTAGTCATGTAGGATAACAGAAAGTAAATTCATGAACCATACAAATTTGTACATGCAATTTTACAAAATTTTTACCGCTTCCTGATGATAATGTGTAATTGTCTTGGTTCACTCTTTGCTGTACTTCTGAGAATGAAAGACAGGAGTCAAGCTGATTCCCTGTTAAAAGATTGAGTGTAAAGTTAACAAAAAAGGGGAATATGGTCGCATTTCCTCGTTTAGGCCTAATGGTTGAGGCCTCCTTTTTCAAATCCAAAAGATTGGTCCATCCTTAGGATTTGCATTCTTAGGATTTTTATTCAGAGATGTACATCTTTAGGATTTGGATTCTTTGGATTTTCATTCAAAAGTATATGCATACTGTCTTGTCAAGTTTTGATATAAATAGTGTTATTATTTTTCTTCTCCTATCTTTTAGCCGATGTTACGATTTCAAAGTAGAATTGAGATACTGCCTTGGGTTTGTCCGCATTTCTCACTGGAAATGGTCATCTTTTGGATTTTGATTTGGATCCTTCCTTAGGATGTTTATTCAGAAGTATATGCATAATTGTCTAGTCAAGTTTTGATATTATTAGTTTTATTATTTTACTTCTTCTATCTTTAGCCCTTACTATGGTTTCAAAGTAGAATTGAGATATGGCATTAGGTTTGCATCTACGTTAGCACTTGGAATTATTATTTTTGCCATTGAATGTTCCTCCCTTTTGCAGGGATTACACAAATCCTTATCTACCTGTGAATCCTTCTGCGATTGAGGGTACTTTACAGGAATTCTTTTGCATTTTGACCATTCTAATTGTTTGATAATAATTAGTGAGAAGATGTACCGTAACAAAACGCCTACCGTTCAGAGTTCTACTTCTGGTAAGTAGTGCATATTTCTCTTATAATTCATGATTCATTCACTTGGTTGATTAGAATATTATTATCAATTTAATGTTTATGTAACAACAGGTAATGCACCAAGTAATCAATCACATGCAGAATTATTGAAAAAGAAACGTTCTTATGCAGCAACTAGTTATCTGCCATACGTGAATTCTACGGGGAATGGACCCGGTTCTAATCCGAGTAAATATGCAATCTTCATTTTACTGCTAGAATATTTAAGTACTGTTAGTTTTTACTTATCTAACAAGTGTGTATGCTAATAGGTACAAAACGTACTCGTCTGCAAACTTCCAATCAAGAATGCCAAAATTCTGTAGCAGATGGACTGAATTCTAGTAGTACTGTTGTCACCACAGAACGAACTACTACTGGTAAGTGGTGTTGAATTGAGCTGAATTCAGTTGAATTGAGCTGAATTGAATTATTTTCCTCTAAAAGGTGTAGAGAAGCTGAATTGAATTTCATTTTTATCAATTGCAAATTACAAGGGTATACCTAAACTACAAACTCGAATGACAGGGATTAGAGTTAGTGCACGTCTTCAGCAACAAAGTGTTAATGATCAGCCAGTGGTAAACACCATAGCTGAAGAGCGAGATGATAATGTGATGTCAGATATTAATCAGGAGCCTCCTTCAGGTATACAAAACATTATATACAAATATATTGAGAATTAAATATACGTATGTGTTATGTTCTTCATAAAAATTATGTCAAAGGTACAACCAAAAAGGTGCGAGGGAAGACAAAAGGAGTGAATGCAGATAAGGTGTTCTCCCAATTGAATTCTAAAATACCTGTGACTCTGACTGAAGAAAATTCTCCCAATTGAATTCTAAAATACCTGTGACTCTGACTGAAGAAAATGGCAGACCTACGGGCCCTTATGCTGAGATGTTTGCAAATGAAAATTGGTTACACAATTCGAAACTACGCCCCACTGAATGTGGAAAAATGGAAGAAGATTGAAAAAGCAGATATGGAGAACTTGATCAAAAGAATGCAGGTTAGTGATGATTTGTTTTGCTAAAGGCATTATATTGGTTGCTTTGATTTGTTATATTTAGTTTGACAATAAATTATGCCTGTGCAGAATAAATTTGAATTTGATATGTCGCTCCCTTGGGTCCAGAGATATGTAATTATTCGGGACGAAATCAAATAAGTTGAAGAAACATTTTGATCAATTTTCAATAATTAAGGAGGCAATTGAAAACAAACATGAAGCTGTCAAGACTCAGGAAGAATGGGAGTTTCTTTGCACTCATTTTTCTAGTGAAAAGTTTAAGGTATGATATCTTTTTTTTTATTTTTCTCCACGCATAACATTTTTTATTTTTTCATTTACTTCTTTCTAATTGTATGTCTTAATAATTTTAGATTCGCTCAGAGAAGAATGTTCTTAATAGGTCAAAGTTAACATATCACCACAAAGCTGGGTCAAAATCATTTATGTCACACCAAGAGCAAATTGTAAGACACTTTTTAGTTTTTCTTATAAATTTGTAAATTAATTGTGTACATATATATATATGCTAAAAATGAAAACATGTTTGAATGTAATAGGCAACACAGACTGGAGAGATGCAATGTGCAATTGATCGTTTTGAAACAGAGTATAGAAGTACAACAATAGGCAACACAGACTGGAGAGATGCAATGTGCAATTGATCGTTTTGAAACAGAGTATAGAAGTACAAAAAAAGGATGGGACTTGGGAGCAAAGGAAAGCAATTGATCGTTTTGAAACAGAGTATAGAAGTACAAAAAAAGGATGGGACTTGGGAGCAAAGGAAAAATAGGTAAGTAACGTGTCAATGATGCATGTTTTTATAATATTTTAAGAATATAGGTGAAACTGATATTACTGTTCTAAAGAGGATTATATTGATTAGGTTGTAATTAAGAAGTTGCATATGATTGAACTGAATATATTTTTTTTACTTATAGGATCAAATGATAAAGATGCGAGCAGATACCACTCAACCTGATGGAACTAGAACAATGACAGATGAGGAAATTTGTACAAAAGTTCTCAAAGTCAAATCGGGCTACATTAAGGGCTGTGGTTTTGGCCATAGACCACCACCATTAAGGTTCTCTCGTTCTTCAATGAGAGAAATGTTTGAAAAGAATAAAGAGTTGCAAGAACAGCTTCAAGAGACCCAACAACTTGTAGGAACTCAACAACAGAAGATCGATGCGCAAAATAAGGTAATCCAAAGATTGGAGGAGCAAGCCAAAAAGTTTGAGGAGTTTATGAAGATCGATGCGCAAAATAAGGTAATCCAAAGATTGGAGGAGCAAGCCAAAAAGTTTGAGGAGTTTATGACTAATTTTTTTAGGCAACATCCATCAGCTTAGTATTCTTAGTGGCTTAAACTTGGAGAAATGTTTCTTTGATCGTGTTGCATTTGTTATTGCTTTAGACTAGTATTGTTACTTATGGTAGTACCTTTCTTGCTTTATTTATTTTAATTGTTTTGATGTACTGTGGTGACAATTGATGATAATTATTTATATTTTGTGTTTTTTCTCGTAATAGCATTATTATTGATGAAATAAAATTTCCTCATTATAAGTTTTCTCGCTATATATTCAGGTCGATGAAAGTAAATTTCCTCAAAATAGACCCTACAACTTAAGGTGACGAAAATATGTTTCCTCGCAATAGGCCACATACTTATGTCGTCAAAAGAATATTTCCTCGTTATAGAGTATACTGTTTACGTCGACAAAAACATATTTCCTCGCTATAGTGATACAACCTATAATGGCAAAAGTAATTTTCCTCGCTATAGACCATATAACCTATATTGATAAATGTAAATTTCCTCGTAATTGAATTTCTTTGGCGAGGAATATAAGGTATAACCTACAACGACAAATTTAAATTTCCTCATCTTTGAGTCCCTTTACTGAGGAACTGTTTCCACGAGAAAAAGATACATATAATGAAGAAAATCAATTTCCTCGTTAATGATTTACCTTTGGTGAGGAACAATTTCCTTGTTGAAAGGTACTTACAACAACGAAAATAGTTTTTTTTAGAACTTTTATTGTATATAAATTAAATATTATTCACATATCATTAGCGAGGAAACTGTAGTTTAGCGATGAAAAAGGCATGAGATTAGGTGAGGAAAAATATCGAGGCTAAAGAGTAACAACGAGAAAAGAATATGTTCATCGCAAAAAGGATTTCGTGAGAAATTATAATATTCCTCGCAGAAACTTTTCTTGACCACCCTACTGCGAGGAAATGGTGACCAAAGTTTTTTCCTCGCGAACACACTACGACGAGGAAATCTCGCCTTTCAGCGACAAACTTTTTCCTCGCGGATTAGCATTTCTGTTGTAGTGCATACATCTCAAATTGTGAATCGCTAATAACTGATCCCAACCTAAGAATAAAATAAAGCAATACAGAAAGTAAAGACATTCATAAAATTATATTTATAATATCTTCTACTATCACTGGGAAGATAAGATAAATATCAGCATATAACCCCGTGTACTTTCAAGGGCAAAGTACCTCAGTCATATATCTCAGTAATTAGTCATATACATAACTGGCTTCCGCCAAAGACTCAGGCTATCAACAATCGTCTCAATGTAAATCCTTACAAGATTCTGATTCATCGCATCATCATGCGAGATGGACTACCGGATCGGTATCCTAACAGTGACACGGCTCATTACTCTCATCGCATCTCTGTACGTAACACGAATGCGGGACAGACTACCAAGAAGGCAACCTAGAAATACGGCTCACAAGCCTCATCGCACCCTAGTGCGGGACGGACTGCAAGATAAAACATCCTAAACCCGACTTAATGGCATGTTCTAATGGTATATCGACGTACTAGTCCATGTAGTACTAAGTGGTGTTCATCAACGATATCTAACATGTATATAAATGTGTAATCAACATTTATCTCTTGTGTAATCAAAACAAAATTTGTCATAATCCCCTTTCAGGATACTTGTGGTGTGCTATGATACTATTCATTAATCGACTGAACAGAGCATTGTGCACAACGTGCAGACACATGACTTTATCGGTCGACCAGCCAGAGTAATATCTGGTTCTTAGGTATTCGGGTTTGCATAATTTGTAACTATATTTAAACAATTATTTATATCATCATAATACATATAATAATATTAAATCTTGAACATTAAATAATAGAAGATCATCTCCATAAAAATTAAACTTTTGATTTAATCTAATTAGGGTTAACATCATAATTAATCAATTTCTCGAATAAAACATGAAATTTGTCCACAAGATTAACTGAACATGATAAATACTACATAATTAATAGAGATAGAAAATTATTTAAACATGTTTAACGAGCTTAGGTATCACAAACCTAGGGTTTAAACATCTCTCTTTTACATGAAAACTCAATTAATAATAAATCTAGAGTTTAAACATGATTAGGACATGATTAACAAGTTAAAATAAACTTAAAAAATAGCTCTAATGATCATGATCATGTTACTAACATAAACAACAAGAAATAAACTTCATATCTATCATTAGATTAAGATTTAACCTTAAAAATCATGTTTTTTAAATCATGGAGTTAAACTTCAACATGAGATTCATCATTATAATTAATTAAAACTTAATTTTTACTAAGGGAAGGGTTTGGAGGAAGAAGATATTGTCTCAAACGCTACTGTAAAAACTCAACGATGCAATAAAACAAGTTCTTCCTTGCTAAAACCCGACAAACTCGCTCTCTTCTCGGTATTTGCTTTACAAAGCTCTCAAAATTCACCAAAAAGTGATCTAGGATTTTTGAGGGGAGAAGGTTGTTGCTAGGGTTCAGATATTTGATAAAAAGAAAGAATTTTTATGAAAAACATAAGTATTTATCAAGGCAAATGTGAAATAAACATGTTTGACCCGAACCAGGAAACCTAGTCTGACTAGGAAAATAACCTTCGATATTTTAGCTATAACTTTCGTGTCCAATCTCAGAATAAGATGATCTAAGATTTTTTTGTAAATATATTAAAAAGTCCTACAACTTTTATCTTTTGAGTATTTTCAAATTCTTACTGTATTGATGTGTAAAATATGGAAACTTTTAACTGATCGTTTTTCTAGATTCAAGCTCGTGCTTGCTGTGCATAATTTCACTTCTATATTATTATACATACATTGGATTGATCTCAAATAAATCCGTAGCATACTTAAACATCAAAATATATTATTTATCACCATATAACATATTTATTATTATTTTTCACATTATATTCAAATTTTACGGGGTTTTACATAATGTGATCTCGATAATTAAGTGCAAATACAAGGGTTTGTTCTCTAACAAGAATAAGAACGAAGTTAAGCTCACACTCAATGAATCACTCACCACAACCCAATTTATACATAATGTGAAATGCTAAAATCTCAATAGGTCATGTGTGCAATCAATGAGTAAAATAAAATATAAACTCAATTAAAAATCTAGCTTATAGAAATGATGAACAAAATATAATTTGCTAGAGATTGAGTTTAGAAAAACTTCACTGAAAATAAGAGAGATGAAGATGTAAAATTGAAGCTCAAACTGAAATGATCTCATCTTCTTGTGAAACTCTCTTCACATAAACAATATACTTAAAAACCTTTAAACAAACTTGCAAAAACTTGTTTGAAACTTTTCTTTGATAATTCAAAATGTTGAGGTTAAGGGGTATATATAGATTCCAAGAACAAACCCCAAAAATCCAGAAAAATCCAAAAAAAACAATAAAATCCCTAAAAATCAGGAAACTGGAAACTAGCTGTTACAGTAGCCGCCAGTCGACTGATGGGTTCATCGGTCAACTAATGAGTTGACCGTTGGTAGCCGTTCAAAGCCCGTCAAGCTATTTCGGTCGACTAATGATGCATCAGTCGACTGAGCAGAAACAAATGCTAATTCTAAATGATTTCTTTAGTCGACTGATGG